TGCCTTGCGGAGGGGGCCCCGGGGGGCTGGGCACAGGCGAGGGGTCGGAGCCGCCGTTTCTAATCTTACCCACCTCCACGGGGCGTTTCTGGCCCCGTCCCGCTCTGCCCACAGCCCCGGTACAGATGCCAGGGAGCACCGTTCCATAGCGCTGATGTTCTTTGCATTAAATGCCAACGCGAAGCGGCAGGGGTGGGGTGTGATATTAGAAATAAATAATCAGCTTGAAGCTGCGTTGGGGTGATGCTGTCACTGGACACTGGGGATCTGGGGGCGCAGCATCTCCGGGACTGACTCTGCGCCTTTGCACTTTGTTTTTCAGGGCATCCCAAGGAGCGCTGGGCGGCTGCTCGCACAGCCCGGCCATGTCACGAGCCCCCGGCCCGCCGGATGGCGGCTGGGGCTGGGTGGTGGTCTTCGGTGCTTTCATTTCTATCGGCTTCGCGTACGCCTTCCCCAAAGGCATAGCCATCTTCTTCAAAGAAATCCAGGATTTCTTTGGCACGTCCTATAGCGAGATCGCGTGGGTCTCCTCGATCATGTTGGCCACGACGTACGGTGCAGGTGAGTAAACCTGCACCAGCCCCTGTGTTGTAAAAGCAGAAATAAGCCAGAAATTTTCGCTCCAGCCCAGCGTGCAGGGAAAACAGTAGCGTCCGTCTGCACAGGCGCTATCAACAGGTTTATTTTCTGATCGTATTTCCAATGTCATTTATGGAAACAAGTCATATCTGGAGCCTAAAGGGGCTAAGGGGCAGTTTTTCAGAGGTAAATTGTTGTTGGTTGGGATTTTCAAACAGGCCTGGTGCCTTCCGAATTTGTCACTGGGTTCAGCGGGTGCAGGCGTCTTTTGACCCCTCTGGGTGCCTTTTGGACCTGTGGGAGACTGCAAATGCCTTTGAAAATGTGGTCTGTGACCAGTTTGGTGCTGACAGCCCCTTTGTTTCCAGCTGAGTTTGCAGCACCTTTGCTGCTTTTCAAAATAGGGCTCATTTCACTAACGTGGGCGCAGTGTTACGCGGAAGCCTTTATAAAGGGGTGCCAGTATCCTCCGCGCCCCAGAGGCTGAGCTGCGTGGTGTGTCCCATTGCTGCATCCCCTTCCCCGGCCACGCTGCCAGCCGCGGGCTGTGTTGGGGGATTTCTCTGATGCCACAAACAAAACGTGGCCTTGGCCCTGTCACACAGCACCTCTGTTGCCCCAAAGGCAGGCAGCACCAGCCCTGCTCCTTGTACCCGAGTGGCGAGGGGACGGGCGAGCTGTTTCGAAGAGACACTGGCATCCTCCTGCCTTGCTCTGACACAAGTTGGTAACTTTGCACCCGAGAGGCTGTGAAATACCAGCGTGGGCTAGACCTGGCATGTTGCTGAGGGTAGCAGTGGTGGTCCCCTACCCAGAAATCAGAAGATTACCTACAAAAGCTTTCCGTGAGCATCAGTGAAAAAGCCCTGAGAGTAGGCTGATGTGAAATAGCTGGGTCTGGGTTTCAGCCAAGGGTGAGTGTGAAGTAGAGCAATAAATGAAGTAGCTGCTTGTTTATTGTGGCAGCTTGTAATTACAGCAATGAAATTGCTAGAGTCGATCATTCTTATCAGTTGCAAAGCAGTGCATATAACTTTGCTTCGTTTTTATGATTTTGATACCACTTTCATGACTCAATGAAAAACTTGGACTGCCTTTGACTAAATCCGCAATGGGAGGCAGACAGGAACCACGCTCTGTAATTGCAGGAAACTTCATCAATATTTATCCTGACTATTAAAGCAATTCTGAAAATATTCTTTGTTTTTAAAAACAAATATTTTTTTCCTTAATAATGCACTGTAGTGCTTTTTGGAGAGCGCAGCTGGTAATGAAGGTAAAGATGCTTTGGAAAGCTTTGTAAAGTGGAAGCGATGCTTGAATCAGAGCCTGTTGTAATCCACTCTATTGTAACCCACTGCAAAGGCTTGGTCCCACAGAGAATAGCTCTGCAAGGGCTGCGTTCCTATTTGAGAACCCACAAATGGAGCACTTCGAGGGCAAAACCCAAGCAGTGATTTAGAAAGAGAAATCCTCTGCTCAAGCCAGTGCCGTTGTCCCAGGCCACCCCCTTGGCCTCCCTGATGGGATGCTGAGCCAGAGCCCTGGGGAGCACTGCGGCTTTGAGATAGATTTCCACTGGGGCTTGTTATTAAATGCAGAGAAAAGCACTTTTGCCTCAGCCCAAGCAATATCAATAAGCAGTCTGCAGTGCAAAGGGAGCAGGGGGGCTGAACAGGAGCAAGTAGATTGTGGTGGGGGAGGGAAACACTGCCATGGGGAGGCAGGCCAAAGGACCGCTTGTCATTTAGATGCTACTTAAATGCTGTTTTAAAGGGCTAGGGTAAGTTATGTGGAATGTCTCTGAAGCAGTCAGGTGGGGAAAAAAAAGAAAAGTAGGCAGCCTATGCCTTTGGTGTGTTCAGTTGCCTACAGATCAGTGTCTTGGAAGCTGCATGGTTTGGAAGTCAAAGAGAGATGGCTAATATTTGGTACCGAAAGTATGCAAATGAGTGGAGGCTGCTGTAAATTTGGTGGTCTGGTACTAAAATTAGGACGTCACTTGTTGGGAAGGCTGTGGTTGGGGTTTTAATTCAGGTCAATGTGCTAAATGTGTCCCATGGAGACTAGGGAGCGCTGCTCTCCCTGACGGCTGGGTCCCTAACATGTTTTTTTCTGTCTTCACGTAGTTCAGGGCATCTTACAGTGCAAGCCTTCTTCCTGGGGAAATGCTGTTTCTTCCATTGCACTCAGTCTTGGGTGGATGTTAGCTGGGGCTCAAGGCACCATGATGATGATCTTATGATTTCAACCACCACCCACAGTGAAGCAGTGGGAAAACCTGCTCTGCCATGAGGTGGGGCGAGACCTTGATGGAGCAGCCCCAAAAATCATGTCCCTTCCGCCGTGTGCTGAAGCGATATCCCATCGCCTGTCCCGTAACACTGCAATAAATGCGCCAAAGTAGTTACCTGTAGGTTGGGGGGCTCCCTGGCTGCCTCTGTGGGTTGTTGCCAGCTCTGGTTTGTCTTCCAATAAAAATGTATCCCCCCACCCTCTGGTATGGAAGAGATGCTTTGTGCCTGACCGTGACCGAGTGAGGAACATGCTCTGCAGATTAGCTCTGCGCCTGGCAGTGCCTGAAGTTGCTCACAGGGGTGTAGATGGGGGGGCTTGAGCTTCTCGGGGTGCAGGTCACGGCTGATGAGCCGGTGCTGAGGCGGGTGAAATGCTGCTCTGATCACCTCTGCCTTCTCCCGTCTGCAGACTTTCCAACCCACTTTCTTCTCTTTCTCTCCAAGTGTTCAAGCCAGTGCCATGTGCTCTGTACCTGGGATGCTGGAGTGGACTTTTATCCCAATTAACTGAGTGTCTCCTGCCTTTTTGCAAGGAGCTTTAACTTTATCTTCCCTTATGCTATTGTACGGTAATATGGGGGATGATACAACTGGGCACTGTTAGACTTAATTGCAGGAGATTGTACCTTCTACCTTCCCACTTGTCTTGCAGTTGCTCAGAGTTATGTCCATTTAATAGTCCTCCCCTCCTCTGCTCTGCTCTTGAGTAAGATTTATGCTTGTTTGATCATCCCTCTTCCCGCAGCAATCCAGGTTGGGATGCTGAGTCGCTCAGTGGCTGCAGACAGGGCCGCAGTGGGAGTTTACAGAACATGGAGCAAATGAAACACACGTGCCCAAGAGCCTATTTAACACATCTAATTTGATTGACTGGGCATTTAACACCAGAGCAGGTTTGACTTATGAACTACTTCAGTGATTTGGAAATTCTCATTAGAGGAACGGGGCGCTGGTTCCTGTGAGCTGCCAAAGTCTTGCTCTGCTGCGGTGCCTGTTAGAGCTGTTAGGATGCCTGTGCAGCAAAGCTTGATGTACTTTGCTGAAAAACTAGAAAATAGTTTAACACTGGATTTTTCCTAATCTTTTCTGAAAAGAATAAATTCTAAAAATGCCAAAGTCAGCTTTCAACATAGTCCTGAGTAACTAGTAGAGTTACTAAACCAGGTAATTATTGCCATGGCTTGTCCACTCCTTCTCCTCCTTTCCCAAATCAGCGGCGAGGCAGAACTGTCACAGCCTGCGAGGAGGTGCAGGGGTGGCTGGGCTACAACCACACAGGTACCACGCGGGGTGCACTGAGCGTCTCCTACGCGAGGCCTCAGGCCCTGTGTCCTGGGCGGCCGGAGGGGCCAAGTGGTGCCTTTGCTGGTGTCAAGTGTGGGCATCACAGCACAAAAGGAAAACCCCAAACTTGCCTCACCTCCACCCTTTCCCCCTGCTCCAGCAGCGGTAAATGGCCGTGATTTGGAAGGTGGCCACGTAGATCAAAAGCTTTCCTCAAGAGTGCACAGGCTCCGCTGTTTGCTCAGTTGGCTTCAGGGAAAGGCTGCAGCATTGCTGTCCCCTTCCTGGTGTTCGGCCACATCTCCGGGCTGTGCTGTGGCTCTTGGAGCCAGGATTCAGGGCAGCGAGGCTGGCACCCGAGCACAGGGATGTCCTCCGTGAGGACTGACCTGGCCGCCCTGCTCGGCTCCCTCCGTCCCCTGGAGCTCAGGGCAGCCGTGCCGCCCAGCGCCTTGGCAGGGTGCGGAGGGTCTGATGCTCTTACTGACAACAGCTTTTGTTTGCAGACATCCTCAGGAGACTCCCTCATTTCCTTGGCATGCTCATTGGTGTGGGGACTGGTTTTTAGGCTGTGCTGCTTACTGTGTAACAGATCTTATGTTTGCATTTCGTAAATAATGCAAATGAAGCGTATTTTCTGGAAACGCGCACATGAACTAACCCAGACCTCCACCGGAGTAGCTCTGTTGACTTTGACAGCATGGATGCAGATTTACAGTGACCACCTGAGGCTTTGGCTTGTAGAACCAGAGCAGTGCCAGTTTTTCAGACTAAGACTGAAAAATCAGCAGCCGAGACTGTTTCTGCCCTTCGGTTTTTGCTTAATTCCCCTAGGAAGCTGTTTTACACCAGCCGAGGCTCTGGCAATATATGTTGCAGAAGTTTTAATGTGTCTTATCCCCCAGTTTCTTAATCTGAACTGGGTTGCAGAAAACAATTCTATCACTGTAATACAAGTAGTAAAACAGATTAGTGTGCAGTAAAGTGGATAGCCTGGACTTTATGATAGGGTACTTGTAGTTCTCACCAGTGTTCATGTTCAGCAATTCCACGTTTCCAGTTGCGGAGGGCAAACCGGGAGGTTGGTGAGCGAGGAGCACAAGGAAACATTGCTTTTCTCTGACCAAATCCTTCAGGGTGAAACCCTGTCAATCTGATAAAGAAGGATTTCTGTTTTACAATGTTTCTACTTTTTTTTCTGGTCATGGGCGAAGAGCTCATTCCTTATGCCAAATGAGAAAAGTGTTGCAGAGCAGAGTCATTGCTGGTTGTAAAGAAAAGGAACCAGGATCTGTCCATAAGGGACCAGGGGAGATGCCACCATCCTTCCCTGAAGGTTTCTTCAGCTGCAGCTCAGCTCCCAGGTATCAGCCTCTGGGGGTGACAAGGACACACCAACAT